CTCTGGAGGGCATCAGATGAGTGGTCATTCAATATGTGTACCCATTCGTCAGGCAGTTCCATTGCTACGAATGCATCCTGAGGACAGCACACTTATGTTCATGAAAAAGGTAATGTTCTATGCATCAGCTTTTATATTGTCCATGATACACAAGGACAAGTTACAGAACAGAATGTATAAACTACAGTCTTTTCATATAATGGAATACCAGTCAGCAACAAAACAGAATAAATTCATGATACAAACAAAAACATGGATAAACATCCAAAACATTATGCTGACTGGAAGAGGCCTTATACAAAAGTACATACTTGATGAGTCCATGTATGTGAAACTCTAGAACAGAGGAACGAAAATAAGTAGAAAAATCAGAGCAGTGTTTTTGCCTCTGGGCGCAATGGGAAGAAGTAGGAATTGGCCGAGAAAGGGTGAGAGAAAACTCCCTGGGATGTTGGTAGTGGTCCCTGTAGGAGCTTGGGTACACGGGCATGTGCAATTGTCAGAACCTGGTGAACAAACAATTAAGATGTGTGTACTTCATTGTATGTAATCTTACATCAAAAGACAAAAACAATAAACAGATATTGAGATCTCAGTATGTGTGCTGAAGAATTTAAAGGCAAGTGTACCATATCCTCTGTCGCACCAAAAATGAGATGGATTAATGGACGGAGAGGCAGAGATGTGATAAAGCAAATGCAATCAAATTCTGATGGTGGAACCTAGGTGGTGGGATGCAGGAACTTACTCTAAAATTCTTTCAACTTTGTTGAATGTTGGAAAATGCTGGAAAACAAATGTTTAAAAAAAAAAAAAACCACAGCTGTGGTGTGTATGGCAAATTCTCTTGTGGTAAGAAAGAAAACTGAACAAAACCCAAGGGTAGATATTGGTTGTGCACGTGTGCTGGGCACATTCTGGATGCAGAGGAGCAGTCAGCAGTGGTCAGCAGTGGAATGGGGCAGCAGGACAGACTCTTAATTTTCCATTACACACATCTGTATTGTTTGGGATGTTCCAGTGACTGTGACTCCTAGAACAAAATAAATCAGCATGATTCAATTTTCTCTCAGAGGTAAATGTGAAAATGTTAATGGTTATCTTAGGTTTGGGGGTAATTTTTACTTGTAATTTTCTGTACTTTTAATTTTTTATGGTAAATATGTGGGGAGTTTTCTAATTAGAAAAAAAATTAATGTATTTCCATTCTCAGAAACAATAGCATCCAACAGTTATATGATAGTGTACAAGGTTACACAGTTGAGTTTTTTTAACGTTAATTAATTTGTTCTGCATAAAAATCTTGAAGCCACTCACTTTCAAGAGCAACAGGAAAAAAAAGATATATGTGAAATATTAGAAATTAATCTTATACCGTATTCACTTGTTGACACATTTATGGATTATCAAAACTATATATTAAGGCACCCTTCTAAGTACTGGGGGCACACTGATGAACAAAATAAGAGAAGTCCTTGTACTCATTGAGCTTATCTTCTATGATAAAGACAAGCAATAACAAATATATAATAAGGTAGCAAGAAATGTTATTTTTAAAAAGCAGGGTATGCAGGTAGAGAATGAAGGTGTTGTTTTCCTTAGGCTGGTCAGGGAAGGTAGAAGAAGTCCAAACAAAAGGAGTAAACCTTCCAGTTATCTGGGGCAAGAGTGTTGCAGGCTGAGGGAACAGCAAGCGCAAAGGCCCTGAGGTGGGGCTGTACCTGGCGTGTTGAAGGAGCAGGAAGTGTGTCAGGGTGAATGGAGCTGGGCAAGCAGAATGAGAGTGAGGAAGTGAAGTTAGAGCAGTGACTGGAAGCCCAGGGCAGGGCCTTGGGAGGCTAGGCAAGCACCCTGCATTTCATCCTTCATGGCAGGAAGCCTCTGGAGGGTCAAGATGAAATGACTTATCACAGCATTTCCTCTTAAAAGGGTTGCTTTGCCTGCTGGGTAGAGAATTCCTGGGAGAGGAATAGGAAGCACAGGCAAGAGTGGAAGCAGAGACTGTTCTGGAAAATGTGAGAGACACTGGGGCCTGGCCTAGGGCTGTGGCCTCAGTGGGGTGACTCTGCCCCGCAGGGACATTAGGCAGTGTCAGGAGACATGTTTGGTTGTCACAACTGGGGTGTGGTGCTGCTGGCATCCTGTGGGTCGAGGCTAGGATGCTGCCCTTACAGCAAAGAATGATCTGGCCCTAAGAGTCCTTAGTGCACAGCTGAGAAACCCTGGCCTGGAGGGTCAGCAGGCAGGCAGTAAGCAGTGGTCTGGTGCTGTGTAACTGTTCACTCGAAGTTCGGAAAGGGCAAGTTGGACAAAGAAGATTCAAAAGTGGCCAGAGCCTGTTGATGAGAGCTCTAGCACCAAGAGTAAGCACTAACCGACTGCCAGCTGTTGTGTTTATTGTCATAATTACTAATATCCAATTTTGTGGGATTGTCAAGCCATTTTTATTGCCTCTGATTTTGCCTGGTGCGAAGGAATAAATATTGGCTGATGTACAATTTGTGGCTTGTCAGTCACTGGTTTATCCATGCTGCTCTTAATGCATATAACCATATCATAGATATTTTAAAGTTGCATCATGGCCCTATTTTTAATTTCCTACTTAACGGAACTTTGTATTTTCAGCAGATTTATCATAATACTTATTTCCCAGTTAATAATTATTTTTATAATTTTAAAGTCTAATTCCAAAATGTGGCCAGCAATGAATCTGGTTTTATTAACAATTTTTCTCTTGATTTTAGGTAGAATACTTTCCACTGTGGATGAGACACTGAGAAAGTCTGGATTCTGTTATCTTCCTCTGAGGAGTATTTAGCTCTGTTCTTGTAGATGGTTTAATTGATTGAGGTCTCTTAGCTGTAGGACTGGCCTCCTTTGATTTTGCTCCTAGTTCTGGGGTGAGACTCTGAATCCTGGACCATGGTTGTAACTGTAACTGTAACACCCACAGGGTGTCAGTGGAAAGCCCCAGGTGTTGATAGCCCCCTAACGTGGCACTGGCTGTCCCCATCTGCATGCATGTCTGCTAGTGAGCAACTGTGGAAACCTCTGCCCATTGTGTTCAGCACTTCAGCTCTGGTGTCCCCGGGGCTCCTCGGGGTCTGGGCCCATGCCTGTGCAGTGCCGGGCTCAGCCCAGGGTCCTAGGAAAGCTTGCTCGCAGAGTTTGACTCCTCCTTTCTAAGACTTCCCCTGAAACTCCTGGCAGCCTGGGGTTCTGATCTCCTTTCCGTTGAGCAGTGTCCCCGGCGCTGTGTGAATTGGGGAGCACGCCTGGGAAAAGCTGGTTAAGGCAGACCTTGTTATTCTTCTTTTAAGGGTCATGGCTTCCCTTTCTGCCTGTATTTGTTTGCTCTTTGGTGCTTTCAAGTGGTTGTTTTTTATATTTTGTCCAGAGCTTATTGTTGTTATTGACGAAAGGATTAGTCTGGCACAGACTATCATTATGGGAAGGCAGAGGTCCAGTCAGTAAGTGCGTTACAGAGAGAAAGATGACAGAGCAGCCCTGTTTGCATAGGCCTCAGAATTGGACTGGAAAATGTGTTTCCTGTAGACCATTTCTATCCACGGAGAGATCCTGATTCACATGGAGCCGCTGTCAGAGCTGCATGTGGGCTGGTTCGGCGGTTGCGGTGATGCGCGGGAGCGGACGGGCCGAGTTCTCCGCCAGAGGAGTAAACAGAAGGATTTGTCTGGAGGAACTGACTGGCCCGGTGGAGCAGCTGGTCAGCCCAGCCGTTTGTGCCGGTGGGAGGGGCCTCTGTCTGTGTAGGGCAAACACAGCCCTCATTTATGTTTCTTCTGCTCCGTGAATAGAGAGCACCGACCGGCGCAGCCACAGCCAGGAAGATAACTTCCTCTGCTGGCTGAGCGAGGCGTTGCTCTCCGAGGCCATGAGCCTGGCGGGGCAGGGTGCACAGAGTCCCCTCTTCCCCTACCCCCACCCTCCCCCCGCTGGAGGGCTACGTGTTGGGAGCCAGTGGCCCACCAGACGCCATCTTCACGGCCTTGTCTGTCGTCTTCCAGCCTCTGGGTCTCTCTCTGTCTCCTTGTCTTTCTCCCCCACCTCCACCCACCCACCGTACACGTCTCACTCCGTGTGTCCTGAATGTGGCCGGTTCCTTGTACTCGTCCCCTCCCTTGAGCCCACTGGTATTCGCTGACCTTCCTCCACTTCTCACATCCACTAGTGATACTAAAACGCATTTTGTGGGTGTATTTGCTGTGTGCCTGATGCTGTTTTTATGGAGGGCATTATTTGTTCTTAATTTTTAAAGCCGATGAATTAAATGTTTTACACTTCTCCTGCAACTGATACTAAGTTGCCTCTTCACTCCATGCTACCATTGATTCTGTCCTGCTGCGTGGCAATAGCCCTGACAGGAAGAAAGAGATGGTCCGAGACCTCTTGTTGGTGCGTACAAATTAGGTGAAGCCTGGACAGTCCCACCCTAGCTCTCCAGGATGGCTCTGCAGTGAAGATTAAGTCTCGCAGCTCGGACTCCTATGATTTTATGATAATTAAAATGATATAATTGAATTCACTTTTGTCTTCTCTCACGAATTTCTTTTGTGTACCTGGGGGTGGTTCGCTGATTCTTCCATCACTCTCCCCAGCTTACTTGCCTAAGAAGGAAAAATAGAAAAGTGGAGCCTGTTCATCATCTAGGTGGAACCTTCCTGTCCTGTGGAATCTTGTGCGCACATGCCCCCAGCCCCTGCCACAGTGGGGGCTCTGCCCCGCCATCCCGTAGACTTGTTTCTCTCCTTCCACTGAAGACCTGTGGTTGCAGCTCGGTGTTCCTGCCCCTTTGAGAGGCTGCAGGGAGATTTTCTTCATAAACCTAAAAGCTGACAGAATTAAGAAAAACAGGGTTTACTTTTTCACCGTGGCAATCCCCATCCTCACCTTTCTCTCTTTGCTTTTTCTGTGGGACTGTTGCACTCTCTTGTTAAATATCCTATTGCTGTGATTCACTTTCTTTTCTTTCTCTGCAGGTTTTGCATGCAGAAATGCGTTAGTCTGGTGCCTGGAGTCACACTGGATTTGATAGAAAAGTAAGTCAGATTTTTAAACTATTGTGGCTTCTGGTGTGAGGGGAGTCTCCTTTTTTCACTCTTGGTTCTCAGAAGTACTTCCTGTCCGCACAGGTTGTTTCCCTTTCATGTGGGTGTGTTCTTTTGTTCTCTGATTAAGGCCATGTTTGTGATTGTTACATAGAACACAGCTAAATTTGGGGCCATATTAAAATGAAAAGAATAAAAGCTGAATCCTTTTGAACATTTAAAAATACTTCCAACACTGAGCCAAAGTAAAAACATATCGTTACACATACAGACCAATCACTTCACATACAGGTCACTGCCATTCAGATCCATCACTCTGCACATAGAGATCATCACTCTGCTCCCCAGCTGCAAACGTCAGATCACAGCTTAGCATCTTCCCGATGTTCTTCAATGTTCCCTTTCACGTTCTGCAACCTTCCATCCCCCCACCCCCAGTTTTACATTCTATCTCAGGGCAGATGCAGTGGTCCCTGCAGGAGGGGTCCTTCATGATGTGCTGCGGTTGCTCGGCCTCTGCTTGTCCTCCCAGGTCACAGGGCTGGCTTGTCTGCTCCTGTCATGAGCCTCTTTGGGTCAGTACACCATCTCACAGCTCTAAACTTGACCTGCATTTTTTATTTGTTTGCGTGTTCATTTCATTCATCCTGATTCACCTAGGTAGTTCCTAATGCTTCTGTTCCAAACCCCGTTTCTTCTAGAATTAACATGCAAATTGTTTCCAAAGTCTTGATATACAAAATCTTGTGCTAAAACAGCTAAAGCCTGATTTTAATTACATTAGGTAGGAAAAGCAAATCTTCTAGTTTTCTCTCCTGGAAAACAACTTGCCTGTGTGTCAGGGGAAATACACAAAAATATTATGCCTGAACACCCACTGTAAGGGCACAGTTCACTCAGTCATGTGCATTCTCGCGGGCAAATACGGAGAATGTGGTGGCTACCCTTGAACTGACAGGGAGTGGCCTGTTGGACATGTTGTTAAAGACCAACACCCGTGGTGGGCTGCCGAGCACATGTTTGAAACCGTGCATAACTGTGTGTGTGTGTGTGTGTGTGTGTGTGTGTGTGTGTGTGTGTGTACCTATCAACAAGGCATGAAATGAAATAGTTACACTTCACTCTGGGTAGGAAAGTGGAATTTGGAGCAAGAAGCAGGGAGGAGCAGTGTTACGGACTGATTTTTTTCCATCTTGTTTAATTTTTTTTTATAAGAATATAGACATGGAAAACATAGGTACAAATAAATTTAAAAGAAAGAGTCAACAAAATACAATTAGGATACCTGCAAACGGTTCAAGTATAATTTCTTCCATTAAATTTTGGATAAACGTTTAAGGAAATCATGTGACTGGTCACTGCATCTGTTTGCTTCAAGATGCTTTTGTCCGCAAGCAAAATGGGATATTGTGACAAGAAAGAATTAGTGTAACATTGATCAGTGCCAGCAGGACAAATGGGAAGACCTGGTGGTCCCCTCTGCTCAGAGTGGGTCTTGGTTACCACTGCCCAGCCCACAGCTGATTCTTGGTTACCATTGACCAGCCCACATCTGGGTCTTGGTTACCACTGACCCACAGTTGAGGAGACTTTGAAGCCATTGCTGGAAAGGCAGTGCTGGCTGAGGCAGGGCCAGAGGATGCGCTGATAGATTGGCACTGCAGGCTGGGTGGGAAGCAGCGGGAACTTGAGGTCGGGATTGGGACCAGCAGCGGAGCTGTGTTCGGGGAGCTGGTTGTGCTAGCTCGGTCAGAGCAGGGACCGTAGACTTCAGTGTGTCACATTCGCAAGGGTCAGGGAGGGCGGAGGTCTGGCTCTCCGTGTGCCCCCACCCAACCCCCATATGTAGTGTAAGGCACACCGGTGACTCTTGCTCCTATTCGAAACTGTGCTGCTCTGGGCATGTGCAGCTGCTGGTTTTCTCCAAATCCGAGTGCTGGTGCAATCTGGTGTCAGGTGGTGGGGAGAACGTGTTGCAGCCTCGTGTCCCCAGTCCTGTCTGTGCTGGGCAGCCCGGTGCACCAAGGGTCACTGCAGTCGGGAAGCAGAGGGCCAGGTGGCCAGGCGCTGAGTGCTTTTTTAACTGGGCTCCACGATTGCCTTGTCCTGGTCACGCTCGCACAGCTCTCTTCTAGAGACAGAAGGCTCAACACCCTGCCACTCAGGGGAGCTGCTCCTCCCCGTTCTAAGCCAGCTTCACCTCCAAGGTGGGCTGAAACCAAGAAAACCATTTACAAGTGCTGGACAAACAAGGCAACCATCGAGAGACATCACACGGAGAGAAGTTAGAAAATAAGAAAATGCTAGATCTGCCTGGTTATCCGGCCTGTTTGGTTCAATTCCCTGATGAGATTTCAGAGTTTGGAAGCCATCCCGTCAGAGTTCGTTCACCAGCACTGCTGTGCTGTGTCTGTGGGTCTTTACTTCTCTCCATTTCTGAGTGACAGAGCCTCTGTTACCTGTACCACAGATCTCCATAGACATGTAATTCTCAAATAAACCGTTATCCATTAAAACTTCAATAAAGTTACATTCTTTCCTAGCGAGGTGACGTCTGGTGACCAGTTCAGACGGTTCTTGTTCTGTTTAAATATTTTGTGAGCAGGGCTGGGTTGTCTCCTTCTCCCACTGGGTGGGGCGGCTTGAAGCATGAACGCAGCCCAGACCCTGTCTCACATGCTGGGTGGTGTACCCTCCTGGTCACTCAGCATGGTTGTGACCGTCCCTGACTGTGCTGTGCTCGTATGGTGCAGGTGGGCCCAGACAAACAGTGTCACGTGTTCCGAGTTCTCCAGACTAAAAAGAACTGTTAAAAACCACATAACTTAAAAATATATTTTTTTAGGTTATTTAGTTAAACCCTGTGATATTACTGAAGAGGAACCTGGCTTTGGTTTGGTTCAGCTTCCTCGGTGACATTTCCCGCCTGGCGGTGTCAGGCCCGCCTGGCGGCCAGGTCTCTGGACGTCTCTCTGTGGTCTTTCCCATACACAGGCCCTCCCTTTTCCAGACTTTGGTGTCTAGACAGCCAGCTCCTATCCTGTCACTTTCTCAGACTTACAGTGTGCACAGCAACTTGACACCCTAAGCCTGATCCACAAAAGAAAAGAATTGGCAAATTGGACTTCATCAAAATTTAAACTGTTTACTCTGTAAGACACTGCTAAGAGAGAGAAAAGATAAGCTACAAACTTGGGGAAAATATTTGCAAATCACATACCTGACAAAGGACTTGTATCCAGAATATATGAAGATATCTCAAAACTCAAAATTAAGGGGAAAAAAAACAACAAAAAAAAACAAATTTTAAAATGGACGAGAGACACTTTACCAAAGAGGATTTAAGGTTGGCCAATAAGCACATGAGAAGATGTTCAAAATCATTAACTGTTAGGGAAATGTAAATTAAAACCACAGCAAGACACCATTGCACACCTATTAGAATGACTAAAACAAAAAAAGGCTGGCGGTACCGAGTGCGGTGAGAACTGGGATGGCAGGACTCCCGCACGTTGCTGTGCAAAGGCAGAGCGGTGCAGCCACCCTGGAGAAGTGCGTGGCTTCTTGTCACTTTAAACATACCTTACCGGGCTTCCCTGGTGGCGCAGTGGTTGAGAGTCCGCCTGCCGATGCAGGGGACACGGGTTCATGCCCCGGTCCGGGAAGATCCCACATGCCGCGGAGCGGCTAGGCCTGTGAGCCATGGCCGCTGAGCCTGCGCGTCCAGAGCCTGTGCTCCGCAACGGGAGAGGCCACAGCAGTGAGAGGCCCACGTACCGCAAAAACAAAACAAAGCAAAACAAAAAACATACCTTACCATATGTCCCCGCAGTCCCAGTCCCAGGGGTTTACCCTAGAGGAATGAAGACTTAGATTCATACAAAGTCCTGTACAAGCATGTTTATAGTAGCTTTGTTCATCACCATCCAAACCTAGGAACAACCAGAATGTCCTGGGGGTGAATGGATAAACAGGCTGTGGTGCATCTGTACAGAGGAGCACCACCTCCAGGGGGAAGGGAGGCCCCTGGGTCCACAGCCACGAAGGGTCCCAGAGGTCCTTCATGGAGTGAAAGGTGACACAGATCTGGTTCTATTCATGTGGCATTCAGGAAGAGACAGAACTGCAGGGTCAGAGAACAGGACTATAGAGAGAGGCTATGAAAGTGATAGAATGTTCACTATCCTGAGTGTGGTGCTGGTTCCACAAACCTACACATGCTAAAATCATAGCGCCGCATACCCCAAACCAATGAACTATACGACAACTTCAAAAATAGGATTAATATAGAATGTGGGGGAAATAAGATACCCTGTAAGAGATACAGGTCAGAATGACTAAAGGAAGTCATAGCAGAAACACCTGAACCGGGGAAGCGGGGACCAGAGGAAATGGAGAACAGAATTTGAGAGGGGAGTGGCCTTTCTACCATGAAATGTGCTCCATTGTTTCTTGGGGAGAAACCTTTATTCTTACTACTTAAACTGGCTAATGAGGATTGAAATGTAGAAGCAAATACCCTTATATAATAAGATTTTAGTATTTTTCATCAAGCACAATTTTCCTAAATCAGGACTTCAGAGTTTGCAGCCACCAGTGTTCCTGGAAACACCCAGTGTTGACCCCTCAGGGGTCAAGACCCCAGGGCTAAGTGACTTTCTCAGCTGGTGAGTCTACACTTTGGCCTATGAAGGTTGTTTCACAGGGTCCTCTTTTCTCCATCTCCCCATCTCCTGTGCCAGGTGATACTACAACGCTGGTGAAATGCTAAAAGACTGGGAGTCTGTGTGTTTTAATTTAAAAAGAAAAACATCATTAATAGCATCCTGAGTGGGAATGGAGGCGAGGAAGGGGATGTGGTGGAAAGACTGCAGATGGACAGACGTGGCTGGGGTCCTGGCCTCACCCTCAGGAGTCACACTCGCTGGACACACCCCTGTCACCCCCACATCTGTCCCTGTCATACAGGTCGGACTGAGGAGCATGTGGTA